CCAAGTATGTATATCAACTTATAGATGAGGTTAAGCAATTACGCTCAAAGATAGATACTCTCAAGGACAAGATTCGTACAAAATCCAAAGAAAAGAAAGATTTTTTACCTAAGATGGAGGCATTGGAGAATGCATTGGCTTCGAAAGATGACGAATTGAAACAAATGAAAGATGATCTGGCCTTGAAATTTCAGAGATACACTCCTTAGAATCCAAGTTATCGTCAGAACCAATCAATATCGGCGGTGAGGCAGATGAAAAAAAAAATACCGAATTATATCTCACGGAGTGATGATGCTATTGCATCTGATATACCTAGTAAAGATCTCAGTCAATATTTTATACGTGGAAAAGGTATGGACCAAGTTGGAAAAATCGATACAGATATACTGGATCGCACTGATGATAAAAGTGCTTCTATACCTGAGGAATCAGCAATTCAAGGCTATGCCTCATCTCCAAAAGTAGATACCGAGATTATTACTAAGGCAAGTGATGAAATCGATATTAGCAAAACCAACAACAATACACTCCAAGATGGAACTTTTCATGCGTACGAGCCGTTACTGTAACCAAATTTCCGAAATAAGCGTAACACGGCAGATGTTTGATCAACACATCACATGCTATATCACAGAACTTTTTATGCCATGTGTTGGGTACCCCTGATTGTACTATGACCAAATTTCCGAAATAAGCATAACACAAATGTATACCACAGAAGGTCGTGGAACTTTTTCATGCATGATGTAATCGTGTAACCTGCTGATTGGAAAAAGTTTTCGTTGTGCAGTAAATGCCCATGGGCTTGCATCGCTCCAGTTTCACATTCCCTAGAATCTATTGCAGGACAATGGGACAATGGCTACTATTCCCGTACCCAAATGAGATCAGAAATGAGCGGAGAAACGTTTTAAAAGGACAGTATAGCGAAGTTATTGTTACTTGTCGCTTTTAGTGATTTTGTTTTTTTCTTGTGTTAATATACTAAGAAATCTATATTAACCACGCAATCATGAATGCATTATATGATTCCACTTGTGATTTTCTTCGTGTTGCTTTGCCAGAACATATAACTGCATTTTCGGTAGTTTATCATGCAATGAATGAATTGCAAAAGGAAAGTTTAAGGCAAATATTTCATCAAGCAATTACAGCTGTCATGCCTTCATATAAAGCGGGTTCGGAAAAATACCAAAAGCTTCAAGGACTACCTTTAAAGGTTATTTATTAAGATTTTTTTTTAACAGAAAAGCTTTATATTATATTATGAATAGCGCAGAATATAATTCTAATAACTGGAGTGAAGTTATATCCAAAGCCATACAAGCCCTGGTTTGATCATTAATGTATTAATCCACAGACGTATGGGGGTATTTCTTTGCTTCTAGTTTAAGATGAATGTGTATATCGTGTAATTTATCGTCTATGTACTGGCCACACATGGTTTGATAATTTTGCATGATAAAAATCTGACGTGTGCGCACACGATTTAATTATATTATCCGTAATAACTATATCTAACTTTAAGGTTTTTTTTTCTCTGCGCTAGTTTGACGATGCCTTTGAAGGAATGTGTAGCCTTCGGGATTTTGAGGTTACTAGAGAGGAAGAAGAATTATCCACTGAGACGATTGAAAATAATCTGCGATTATTAAAGGGAACCTTAAAAAAAGCAAGGCTCGGTATGCCAAACCTTTACGAAAGATTATAGGTAGGATTAAATCTTCGGAACTTTTATGGCGCAATCCATTTGCAAGTCAGGTTCTCAGTAGTGAAATGATGGAGGTTAAGCAATTATCAGAAGAAGATTATGAGTCTTTCATGGTAAAAATAAATATATTCCAATTAAGTTCAGAGGTCAAAATCATTTTTGTATGATTACTAAATAAATGAAATATATGTTACCAGGAGCCGGCGAAAAATATGGAAGCATCTCTCCCTCACTCGATCGAAAGAGCATGTGATATTTTTTTAACAAACTACAATGATGGCTCTACAGAGATACCTCCACAAAAACTTTCTTATAAGAATTGGAGAGAGAGCGAAGAGGTTCTTAGAGATATTGCGGTTAGAATACTTGATACTTTGTAAGTATATTACCAGATATTAACCCATTTATAAGATTATATAATAATGATGTTTTTTATATTATAGAGGGGGGATCTGGAAACATCCAGCTTTTAGCCCTAAATTTGCTAAAACACAAAGTGAGGGGACGTACGTGGCAGATATTATTGTTCCTATTATTCGAGCCACATTGAAAGATCTGCCAATCGGAAAATCTGCATACGTTAGCACGTGAGTAAACTTTTTTTATTTTTTCTAATATTTTTTATTTATATTTCTTTCATTACAGAGCGGAGCGTCAAAGCGTGGCTAGTAAAGACAGAAGAGGGGAGAAAGGAAAGCGTCCAGACATTATGTTCATAGCGAAACATATGGATAGAATCTATGAACTAATGTTTGCTGAATGCTCACGCATTATTTGTAGTGGTACGAAAGAAGATGAGGATAGAGTAAAATTGTGGAGGGAGCTTAATGATGGCTTATATTGGACGAATAGGGGGTGTAAATTAGAAGAAAAAAACGAGTTCGGTATTCTCGGGTTTCAAATCGCGGGACAGAATTTCAAACTATACGTTCTTATTCGTGATCATGAAAATATAAGCCGTCTTTTTCTCTTAAGATCGGTGAAAATTCCGATACAATATACAAACGATAGGAGATTTATATTTGAGTTTATAGAGGCTTTATTATTGATGCGGGTATATATTCATTTATATTCCATGTTACATTTATTCTGTGAACACTTACCTACAAACTTTTTTTTAATTTCAGAGAATATTGATCGTTGATCTGTCTTTGCTATTTAATTCTGGAACCAATGAAAGTGGTGAAAGTAGCTCAACAGTTTCTACCCCGTGAGATAACTAGAATATAAATATCATGTATTTTTTATCGTATATATTTTATTAATAAAGATTTCGATTTGTTAATGCAATTATTGTTTCTGATTGGGCACATGATCAAGGGACTAGTCGTACATCCTTAACGGTATCCCAGAAATAGAAACAATCTTGATTGGTTGATCGTTGTAAATATGTAACTTACGATTACTTACATTCCCACGATTTTTCGCGAAAGTATACGCTATCGTCTTGAGTAGGACATCGGCTCTCTCTTCGTGAGATGGCTTGTCGAATAGTGTCGCTTTTGTATCTCCCGCCTACAATAAAATACCAATCTTCGTTATGTCTAATATTATACATCGAACAAGAGTGGAAAAGCATCCCCATCTGTCCGTCGGATCGTATATTGTCAAAAAAAAAAAATAAAATAAAACGTTTCGGTTGAAGAATTATTGATTGAACATTGGTTCAGGAATTGAGATTAACAAGTTCCGTCGGGGCGCCTGAGATTCCATCCGATTTTCAAGAATTTTTGTCATACCTATAAATTTTTGAATTGGATATTGGGTTATATAATTTCGTGCACCCCCATGACGTAATGCATTTTAGCAGGTGCGAACTATTATGTAATAGTAATAGTA